TAGTTTTTCAGACATTCATTAATTTACCTTAGAGCACAGTGCCAGGTGTTTGTGATAATATTCTCTCACTAGAGAAAAGCCTTTATACCCTAGTTGACTAATAAACAGATCTGCTTCCCCGTAACTCTGAATCTCAAAGTAAGTGTGCCCAGAATCACTTAACACAACAACTCTATGTGGTATTATCATCACTCTTTTTTTTTTTTGGTACTGGGGATCGAACTCAGGACTGTGCGCTTGCAAGGCAGGCCACTTATGCCGCTGAGCTAAAAAAAATCCCCAGGCCTTACCATCACTGTTAAGTAATCATACCTGTGTATGTTTAACAACCTGAAAAAGTCAACCTGGATGCTGTAGGTTCTCATGTTACACTACCCCCTGAGCAAGGGTGTACACCTGTTATACATCACCTTCAATAGCTATATAAGGATAGCCTACTTGACTGCACTCTACTGAATTCTTAGATGCTAGGTGTCTCTTGTTTTCTTAAAATACAATGGTATTGTATAAGTCACTTTCCTGCCATTGAGCCTCCCTAACTTACAGGAGAAGAGGTTTATTTCAGCTCACAAAATATTCAACACCTACAACTTCAAGAAGGAGAGTTGATTTTAGTTCAGTTTACAGCTGGAGCTCACCAAGGCAAAAAAACAGCCTGGTGGGGGAAAGCTGCTCACATGATGGCAGCCAGGAAGCAGAGAGAAAGAGAATGGAAGAGCCAGGGACAAGAATGCACCCTTTCTAATTATGACCCGTGACCCGCCCCCAGGCCTAACCTCCAAATCTGAGTTTCTGGAAGTACATTTTTAGGTCTAAATCATAACACAGTCAATTTTTTCTGAGCATTTTTAAGTTCCATGTTGGCCTACTTAGCTAATTAATAATACATAAATACACTGGCAATCTGAAATTTAAGTAAAGAAACTATGAGAATAAATAACAACAAACCAGCAAATCACTAGAGAAATAAAACTAAGCTCCCTGAGGCCATTTTTAGTAGAGTTGTACATCATATCACCCACAGGGGATCTTGGGGAGGTCTGCACACAATACTTACAGATGCAGTGCCAACAATCCTTGGATTTCTGCCACCATGAGTAACATTTGTCAAGCATTTGTATGACTTAGCTACACTACAGAGCAGTTTTGCTATATAGTTCACAACATTTCAGTTCATTATACTTCTAAAAATAATCTATAATGAAACAAAAACTAGCTGAAAGCTCAACACACTTGAGGCAACTAGTGCCCTAGGATTTTGAAGCCAATATCCCAAGACCATCTCCCAATTTTAACAGGCTGTCTATGACACTGTACAGTTACTGGAAATAGATCAAGAGAACCAGAAGAAAATGTGCTGCATCCAAGCCTTCAGCCTAGATGGGCAGCCACACAGTGCTACAGTTTTCAAAGCTGACACTAACAGTTATCTCCACCAACACTGAAGGGCTTGCTGGTGCCAAACAGGATGTCCCTGCTAGGAAGCTCACTGTCTATAAATGTTATGTGGTATCATAACAAGCAATTACATGCCAAGACTCTTGGGCTAAGACTAACCACTGAAATTCACACGGGAAATGTGGTGAGTTCATTCTCGTGAACCTCGTGCTCTGCGGGAGCACACCATTTAACACTGCCATTCACAAACCTATGGGGAAGAGAATCTGGGTCACTATAAAGCTCAAGTCTCCTGGCTATAACTCAGGACTATGATGAACAACAACAATCAAAATTCAAGCAAAGACCACAGCAAAGTTAGCCGCCTAAGGCTCATCTGAAATTTGAAATGATGAAGGTGAATATTTTATAACAAAGCATGAATCAAAGATGTACCTTTCACCTCCTGTTCAATAGGCAGCATCTCACTGCTTTGACAAAGAGGTCGAAGGCAAGAGATGCAGAGGACAATGTGGGGGTCGGTAGTATAATGGACCCTGGCTAAGCAGAACTTCAAGGCTTGTTCTGGTTTTTTTTTTTTTTTTTGTACCAGGAATCAAACTCACTACCTCATACTTACCAGGTAGATGCAGGCTTATTTCTTGATTAATTTTCTCCCATTTTTATCCTACCTAGTTCAATATACTTTAATTGACTCTTCCAATTCTGGATGTCTCAAACATTTGAATAAAAAAAATGACAGAAAAACCTCATTAACAAAGAACGTTCTGTTAAAGCTTTGCAAAAGTGTTCAAAATTGATCATTTCAGCCAGGCACGATGTTGCACCTTGGTAATCACAGCCCCCAGGAGGCTGAGGCAGAAGGATTTCTGGGAGTTCCAGGCCAGCCTGGGCTACAAGGTGAATTCAAGGCCAGCCTGAACTGCACAATGAAACTCTGTCTCAAAAAGACGAACAAACAAAAGTCATTTCACACAGAAGCCATTCAATTCCTGGGTCTCTCATCACTGATTTTATTTTAGTAATAATTTCCAGCATTCACAATATTCTCAAATTTTACACATATTACCTCATTCAATCGTTATGCTAACTCTGAGGTATGTGTAGGATTTCCACAGATACCTACATTTGCAAGATCATATCATTAGCATGTGGTGGAGCCCAATATTTAGCTTATATCCTATGCTTAATTTTCTAGTTGGCATAGTAGAGAACGTACTTTCTAGTCAATACAGCTCAAGTTCATCTACCTTACATCTCGTGCCCTTGCTGTTTTTAAAGGTGCCTTTTAGAATGAATCTCCACAATGGCTTAGCAGACTATGAATCTGCCTGACGCACAGCCAGGTGACAAGCCATGGGTCAGATGAAAGGTCCGCAGAGCTAGCAGTTAAAAGGATGGGCCACTGGTTTAATGTGCTGTTAAAATTACAGAGAGAAGTAACTCAAAGCACTGCTGACACAGAAAACTGGACCCAGAACAAGGTCTCATTTATCAAAGGAGAGCAAGCTAGAATTAAAATCAAAGGCAATGCCTTCTTTTGATTTTGGGGGGCAGCTAGCTCACCCTGGTGGACAGAAAGCTCAACTACACAAATATCAATTTCCTCCCGTATCATCTCATACTGTACAAAAATTGGGGAAACTGATTCAGACTACTTGATAGCCCTCATGATTCAAGATTATACAAACTTTCTAAGGTCTACATGTCATATAGAGTTAATTAAATAAATTGTGTTAGCAATCCTGTATCTGAAAATTTACCAGCGTTATGTGGGAACTTTCTGAAGTCTTAAATATAAATCCAGGGTTTGCTGAAAATGATAAATGTATCAAGAGTTTCTATTATGCAATCATCTACTTTCTGTAGGATTACAGCAATTTCTGACCTGGTAGAAATCACCTAACCATTAACAAAACTTAACCATAAAAATATTTATGGCAATATTTTTCCATAAATATTTACTAGTGTCTGTTAAGTAACAAGTTGTATAGTATACACTGGGAAAAAAAAAAAAAGAGCAGCTACCAGGGAATTCCACTGCTATGAAGCGGGGGTGGGGGCTCCTGATGTTACAGAGACCCTGGAGTCACTTCACATGGTATGATCAGAGGGCTACCACATGGTTCCAGCAGCAGACAACTGCAAACAACCCAAATGTTCATCAACAATAAACAGCACAAATGCCTATCAATCATAAACTGAAAAAAGCAAGGTTAAAAACAGAATCAATGTGAATAAATTCCTGAAGATGTACATACACATATTTTAAAACTGCCCCAAGCTGACAGTGCAGCCCTGCGTTGGATCCTGCATTCTCATGCACACACACAGAGCTAGGGATGTAGCTCAGGGGTACAGCATTTGCTTACCACATATTCTTAGCACTGCGGACAAAAATAAAAAAATTTTTAAAGGCCAAATTGTTAACAATGGTTACTTTTAAGAAAAAGGACTTGGAGTAGGAAATCTGTGTTTCACTTAATATTCTTTAGCCATATGTGTTTGTAAATGTATTCTTCTTCATTTAAACAATGAAATTTTATTTTTTACTATGTAAACAAGTCAATCACCATGGCAACACAGGACTTTTATTCCTGATCAGTGTGAAATGGGTAAGACTTAAGGCATCACTTTGCACTTAGGGAAGGCGGTTACAGCATATGTACCCAAGAAAGGGCCCTTACTGTAAAATACAGCAGTCATTAATTGCGTATCATGAGAACCCCAGGCATGGTTTTCACTGGCACACGTTGGCCTACCCAGTCTCTGGAAGGCATGGATATGAGGACAGCTTAGTCCAGCTTTTTCATAAAACTGCTTATAAAAAAAACTGGAGAGGCCATATCAAATTCATTCAGCAGACAGGCAAAGAGAAGTTTCCCACCTTTTCCCGCCAGCTGCTACTCAAATGTCCCCACCACCACACAATGCTCATCCCTCTCAAGCAGGTTATTCAAAACATTCAAATATCCTGTTTGTTAATATTCCTAAATTCACTAAAAATACATAAATAAAAAATGTTAAAAGGATTCCTGCTGTTGTGAGGAAAATATACTTCAAAAGAATGAAAATGGATGCACTTTTAGACCATAACATTACATGAAATAAATCAGACATACAAGCTTACATAAGTATAAATAAATAGCAAAAATAAAAGATAATGGGCAGTAGGGAGATGGATCTCTTACATAAAGGAAGGGGATCAAGCGACGGAGGGCAGGGAGAAGGCACGAAGGAGGGGAGGATGTAAGAACTGAGATGTGTTGTGTACCTGTACCAACTCCCCACAATGAATGTGACCCTTATGTACTGTAAACAATTTGGGGCATAAAATATAAAAACTGAAAGTAAGAATAAAAATCAACTAATACATTCACTACTTACAAATATATATATATATGTATTCAACCCAAAAAAGTCAACTGATTTAGTATTTTTCAGTTGAGGATGAAGAACTCATTTCCAAAAATAGTGATTCAAATTGTATTTTCATGTTGTGAGGCAATTAAAACCATAGCCTATCAACAGGGAAGGCAGTAAACCTGGTACACGGTGAGACTTTAAAATTAAATAGATGAACCTAATTCTCAGTTTCTTACCTAATGCAGCATGATTTTCTTGCTCTGGACTATTTTCCAAGGCCATCATTTTGGAGTATGTATCATTCCACCAAGGGCTATACTTCAAAATCTGTTCAACTGCCTCACTTTCAAAGAAGTCAGCTCTGAAGAAAAAAAATAGTGCATGGATTTATTACACCAGATTAGTTTGGCTTTCATTTTAAAAACTTTATCTTAACTCATCACATTCACACTAAAAATATAGATTATTAATTCAAAGTAATTTCCCAGGAAGGTCTGGGCACTGTGTTTACTTTTTTTGTGGTTACTAATCATCATAAAATAAGAAGCACCATCTAATGAAAGAGGGGTAGTTGACACCAGTGATCTCTTTAACTAGAGGGTACACAGAGACCAATCTTATCTAAGGTCTCACCTTACAGCTAGTGGGCATGGAATCTGAACATACATGTAATTTACATTACATTTGCTAGTGCCACTGATCTTGCTAAGGTTACAATAATGGCAAAATCTTCCAAATCCATCACAAAAGAAAAATAAATCACCAGGAAATTCAGGATATTAAAAGGAGCTAAAGAAGGCTACACACACACGCATGCACACACACAGCAACCATTTTTTAACATGTGTACCAATACTTACACTAGATAAAAGTTATTTCTTTTAGCTATGCTAACCTGAAGAGTTTCTTGATTTTAAACTACTGTAAAAGATAAAAAACAATCTCTTGGAAAGAACAGAAAACTAATGTTTCTCAGTTTTAATATACCTCTCACTCTAGAAGGACAAATATTCAGAAATTTCACTATTTTGTGTTCAAGATTGGAAACTGGTACTCTTGGAAAAAAACACGAAAAGTACAACTCAGGGTGAAAATTTTCACTTACACCTCAGTTAACTGGAATCTCAAGGAATTGGTTTCCTTGACAAATTGAATTTTCTACTTGATAGTTTTATGTTACTTTTTCTTCTTTTACCTGGAATACTGAAATCTTACCCAAATTACAAAAATCAAAGACAACTTATTGGGTTCTTTGTTCCAGACACTGCACTAAGTGTTTTGAATACTTTTCAGTTTCTTGATTCCTCATCCTGCGACTAGGATGCAAAGAGGTGGTATCATTTTTTTGGATAAAATGTAAATTTATTTAATTTTTATTTTATTAGTATATGTCTGTAGTATATAGTAATTACATTCATCCTGGATATTGGTATGTGTATACAACATGTCTTAGCATATTATCTTCCCCTTCCCAGCCTCCCTCCCACCTCAGGGTAGTACCATTAAAGCCCACATTTTAATGTATCTTGCCCAGGTCCTGAGGCCCAGGAAGAACTGTGGCCTAGATGTGGACCCACTTAAGCCTTATTCCAGAAGCCAAGCTCTGTCGTTATATTTTCACACTGACTAACCGATCCTAGAGATGGAGCCCATCACCTCATGTGCACTACTAGGCAGCCACTCTATCACTGAACTGTACCTCCAGTCACTTTATTTTAGACAGGGTCTCACTAAACTGCCCAGGTGTAGACCTCTGTCTCAGCCCCCTGGGTAGCTAGCTGGATTAGAGGTATGTGTCAACACATCCAGCTCCAGAATCCAAGCTCTTAAACACACATAACTATTTCATTTTTATGCATGACAAAATAAAATACATATTTTATAAACAACCAGTATCTTGAAATGGGAATTTCAATATTCACTTTTGTCAGGTACACATGACTAGGATAAAATAGTTGCTTTTTAAATTATGTTGTCTCTTTTTTCTTAAAGTGAAGGTAAACTCTCTGAACTGAGTTTCTGCCACAGATTCATCCACAAATGAGAGCTTTTTCTAGGAAATGAATTTCAACAGCATAAGCAATCAGAGTAATTGGATGAAAAGCTAAAAATTCATTCAACATGTCTTGACTTTGTATCATGTTCCTAGACCTGTTAGGCACAGGGGTGCCACTGCCAACAAGATGTAGACTGTCCTGACCTCTGAAGACCTTACAGTCCATGGAAGAGTCAAGTCCTAACATATGGCATAATGCTATGACATAACAGTGTAAGATTCCATGGCAAAATCCATGGGATGATGACAGGTAAGGACCCTGGAAGAAACCATACAGGTCAACAGCCAAATAATTAAGAGCTAATCATATTAAGTGGGTGGGAGACAGTGTTTCAGGCTGAAGGGACAGCAAGGTCTACAAAATAAGGCTACACATTTAAGGAAAAACTGCTGAGAGGCTTAAAATAATTTTAACTTGTGATAGACAACTGAATATTTAAAAGCTTTTACAGGAGAATGACATGTTAAAGGACAAATGTGCAGAAGTAAAAATAATGGTGGCTTAAAACAGGAGAGTGGTGGTGGACAGAGGACAGAATCTGACCTACATTAGAAGCTAGCACCTCAGGAGGAGGGGTTGACTAGCTAGCAGTGTTTAGATGCTCGGGACTGACCAAGACAACTCAGTGGATAACTATGTCTTCGCCGAGACAGGAAGTTAACCATGGGGAAGAGATAACAACTACTACTTGGAACTGGTGACAGTGGCAGTGCCCTTTGGGAATACACAGAGACCTGTCCAGTAGGAAGCTGGACATATAATTGATCAAGTGACAGGCCTTAGAGGCATCTGATATTCAGATCAAGGAAGACAGAATGCCCCAGGAAGAAGAGGCACAGTGACAGAAAAGGGTCCGGGACACAGGAACCTAAGGACACATAAAGCCAGGGCAGAGAACCCTACCTGAAAAGCTGTTACTGCTTTGCCTCCCAGGGAGGACATGATGGGAAAAAACAAACTGGCTAAGCAGAACAGCATTCCTACCATTTCCACCTCTTAATTTAACCTCTAAAGCATTCTGAAATGTTTAACTGATTATTTTGACTAAAATTTCACTGATCCAATTCCAATATTCAATAAGCAATGGCTTATTCTTTACATCATTGTGAAATAAGATAAGAACTTCATGAATAAGATTTACTGTTGACCAGCACTATATTTCCCAAAATAAATTATTTTCAAGTTTCTAAATGCTATTAATTCAAAATGAATTAATGAATGAATGTCCTCTACATGCAGTATGAAGGAGTTAAAGATTAATAAGATCCACTTCCTACCATAAGGATGCCACTATTTAATGGGAACCATGGATACAAAACAGAACATTGTACAAAAACGCGGTAGAAACAACACAAGTTCCACCAGGGACACACCAACGAGCGTCCATGAGGATGATGTGGTCTGTATCAAAGAATAAGTAATACTTACTCGGGCAAAGGGATACCAGAAGTAAAGCAGCAGGGTATGAACAGGGGAAATGTGAATTTTCATTAATGCCGTAATATAAAAACATGGGCAGGAATGACAAAAGTGAAACATCAGAGATAGGCCGGGTCCAGATCACAGAACCCTCTCCGTCATGTTAAGCAATGAGAGGCTTATGATTTAAGCAAAAGAGCATCAGCCATCATGCTGGGGGTCTTATGGTTGACACATTTCAAGAAGTTCAAACTAGCAAGAGAGATGCCAGTTGGGCAGTTAGAAGAGAGCTACACTAAGCCAGACAGAGATGAGGGCCAGAAACAGATGAAGTGAAAGAAGGAAAACATAAATTGTACAACTTCAGACTGATGGAATGTGCAAGGTAAGAAAGAAGTCAAAGATGAGTGACAAATGGAGAGACGAATGTGGAGACATTTAACCTAGATGGCTGGGGTAAAAAGTGGGGCACTCAACCAAATGAGAACACTCGGGACAAATTAGAAGTTAAATGATGAGTTCAATCTTGGACATGCTGAAATAGAAGAGCTCGTGAGATACTCAGCCACTCTCAAAACCCTTCAATCCACTTTATTCTTCAGTCTTTTTCGCAACAGAAATATTACCTCCTACAAGAAATAAGCCTTGTGAGGTAGAGATCGGGATGTACACATCTTGGTATCCTAGCACCACCTAGCACACGGTTCACTCAGACAAATACTAGTTGAACAAATAAATGCACAAACCAAAAAATGATTCTATGATATCTTATTTTAATGCTTTTTGCCTATGCTTAGCGTTTTGAATAGAAAGGCACCTTGAAACATATGATCTTCCTCCCAGCCTCCCAATTTACTACTTGTGTCTTGAGATTACTCAACACATCCAAAGGTCTAATCAATATAACATCTTCTATAGTATATAAATTTAGAATGAAAAACAATCATAGTTTAAAATGGCACCCCAAATGGATATGATCATTTTCGTGCCTTTTCTTATCACACAGAATGTTACAATGATGAATAAATGCTGCTTTTCCTAATAGGTAAATATTTATGAATCAGTTAATTTTAAAAATGTCAACAGTTTTTTTAAAAATTGAGAAAGGAAATAAGCCAACACTTCCAGAGAATCAGAAAAGCCATGCTATAAACAAAAAAAGAACAATTACAAAGGAATGCTTCAAGAAGTTGTCAACATATTTTAATGCAAAAATATCCAAAAGGACTTATAAATCACAAGAAACAGACAATCAAAACAATAAATGTTTATGAGTCATCTATTATATGCCTACCCCTGTGCTGAGCTATAAAACTAGCAAAACAAAATAAATTACATCACATTTATATTGTTTTACAAGATTTCTAAAATAGTAATGATCCAAATACAGTTGCAGTCAAATGTATAAACTTCTCTTTACAACCAATTTACTTCATTGTGGTTTTAAGCTACAATCAAAATTAGTATCCATCAAGTCCCCAAAAGTCTTGACTCGTGATTAACAATTTGTAAAGACAGGTCAACCAACTTAAAAATAGAGGACATATTACACTAATATATAGTAGTACTACATGTGAATATTACATGTACACATGTAATTGTTTAAAATGATATATTAATTACCTGCATGGCAAATTATAATAAATTTAAAGTGAGCTGTTTTTCCACTGTTTTAATTACTAGTTAAGCACTAAGCTAAAACAATTTTTTTATTGAAAACTTAAATTTATGCTTCATCTAATACAAATACATTTAGGGGCCAGGGATATAGCTCAGCAGCACAGTGCCTGCTTGGCGAGCACAAGGTTCTGAGTTCAATTCCTGGTACCAAAGGGAAAAAAATAAAACAGAAAGAAAGAAATAATACTAATACATTTGGGTGAATCATGTCAATATAAATGTTAATATTAGTTAATATAGTTAATATAAATAATGAGTAACAGCCAAGCACAAAGGCACATGCCAGATACTCACTGTGAGCACTTGCTTTAAAAGGAGTGGGGATATAGCTCAAAAGGTTCCATAAACATTACAATTAGCCAAAGCTCTATTTCTAAAGCAAAAGTCACCAAGAACCTGCTCTCCCGACCTAGACCAAGACTAAATTTAAGCCACTCCTACAATAATAGAACAGTTCATACATATGATTAAATGAGCCACTGATACAGAAACAAAAAAGACAGGAAAAAAAGTCTAGGTGGCTTATAATATTATACTGCCAACTATAAATTTCAATTTTCTCATTCTCTCAGGCCACACACTTATTCTTCTAGTTTTAGAAGCGATAGGCAGTTCTTCTAATTAAGCTCCCCTCCCACTCAAATCTTCAGTGTTGTAAAGCTCATTCTGTTTTCACGCTAGACTGCGAAATTTGCTGACAGTGAAATTTAAATATTCAGCTGATTTTAAGTGGATTTCTTCAAATTACTCTTCAGTGGACCTTTAAAATCACAATTGGATAAAGGTAATTAGAAATGGCAATGCAAATGGAGTTGAACCTCTCAGAAGTCCTCAGAATGTAACACACCCTGCTCATATCCAGTTTCCTTGAGGATGTTGAATAATTCAACCATTTATCATTATACATCATTCATTCCATTTGTACATCACAAGATATGTTTCTGCCATTCCAATTAGTATCCCACTGTGTCACAGGAGATAGAATGCTAATCACAAGAGCCATAGCAATTAAACTGAAACAGTGTACATAAAAAGAAAATACAAAATGACAAATGGAGAGACTTTTTCAAATCCTGGCCAGGTCGCTTAGCAGTAGTGTGACCTTGGTCCAGTCCTTTAACCTCCTTCCTCATCTGTTATGAGAGTACCTGCTGAAAGCACTTGACAAACAGAAGGAGAAGTGATTGTGATAGTTGTATACATAATAGCTTAGAAATTATTGGCCCAGAGCTTGGGAAGAATAAAAAGTGATGTCAACATCAATATCTAATACCCATTCTCCATACATCCTAGGAGAGCCATGTACCAAGAGAGTTCAGGTGACAATGTGAAAAAGTGTTGTATCATGACCAGTAAGAGAGATCACAATCTCTCAAGCAAGAAATTAATTAGGTAAGTTCCTTATGCATATGTAACCCTCGCAGAAACACATTCAGTTAAAGACCTAATTAATGCAAATAGAAAATACAACATAACTCAAAATTAGATTCTAAATATAATCTACCACACAAGATAATTATTTCTTCACTTGAAAAAGATTGCTGATTATAAGTGCAAGTGTATGAAAGTGTTAGAAGACCCTGGATCAGCAGAAATGAGGCACATGTAGATTCAAAATCTTAGAAAACTGTGACACTCTTCCATTTAGGTATACCATTAATTACAAAAAAAGGCCTACTTTAAAAAATGTAAGTAATCTCACAAATGCAGTCTTGTTTCTGAGTCTGATGAGAAAAAACTCAAAGTACATTACACAAGTTCTCTGCGGCTTGGATGAACGACTAGGAAGCAATACTTAAAAAGATCACAGAAGTGCACACGTCTAAGTTACCTCAAAGATCAAAGCTTTGAGCCATCCTTAAATTTCTAATATCCCAAATGTATATGGTCGATATAGGCAAAGACACTCTCAACTTTTCTGAATAAATGTCGAGTAAATCAGAAACCTCAATACTCACAGATAATGATCTGGATCAAATTTAGCCAGCTCAGCAGCAAGCCGTTTCTGCCTTCGTTCAGCTGCAGGGGTGAAATCTGGATTCTTAATATCAATAACTTCACTCAGTTCATCCTAGGAGTGCCCAGAAAAAGAAAGAATAATTGCTGCCTGTTTTGGGCATTTAAAACTCAACTTGGCCAAGAAAAAGTAAATTAAAGCACAAGCAGAATCTAACTGGTCAGTAAAACATGGTATCATCTGTGGCATTTCGATTCAACATCAGGAACTGCTTATTAAGCTGCTGTATCACTGAAAGGTCTCAAACAGGTTCATCATCACTGCCCTAAGCCCTGTTAGCAATCTTCACATAGATTATCTCATTTAATCCTTACAACAAACTAACTGATTAACAAATATTAAGGTTATAAAAGTTTTACATGAAGGTAGAATGGAGTAAGCCCCGTAAGTACATGATATTTAATTCGCCATCCATTTCCCTCTAAAGACCTGAAAGCTCATGAAGGTAGAGCAGTTTGAAGATCAGACGTTCACAACAGACTTTTTCTTCCTCAATTACCATACAGGACTTATCTATACACTCAAAACCACACATTCTACTTAGTGAGCTAAGTTTTGGGTGGCAATTTTGATGTTCATGGCTTTCCATTTGAAAATTTCAACTTTATTGTAACTGTCTTTACTGATATATACACATATTAGTAGGTAGCATGTTTTTCAAGCAGAATCGTAAGGAGGCAAGAGAATCACTGTGAGTGTGAGGCCAGCCTGGGCTACAGAAGTGAACTCAGGCGCAGGCTGAATTGCAAAGTGAAACCCTGTCTTAAAAAAAAAACATAGATGTGTATTAGGAAAATTGCCTAAAGTACTATATAGGCTTCATTCTTTTGACCGGAACTGAGAAGGACTACTTCCTTGTACTCCTTGGCTTCCTTCCTTGCTTCAGTTTCCTCCCTTGGGAGGAGCAGCTAAAAGGGAAGGGCAGAAATTTAAATCATCTATTTCATTTTTTCACCTGGATCAGATATGAGGTCATAAAGTATAACTAATGAGTCGTGGTAATCTTACATTTCAGAGAATAAAGGGACTCACATAACCACAAGCACTCAAAACACTAACAGCACTGAGAATAAACCCAGACTTTTAACACAGTTCTGCATCTGCTGACCTGTCGTGCCTTTGAATCCCACACCACCCTTCCTTTTTGATTCAAGTATGCTCAAGGCACATGCTAGATACCTTTCCATTCTGAAACACAATTCAGTCTCCCTCTCTGAGCCTTTCCACTTACAGTACCTGTCTCGTCACGCAGAACTCAGTGCAAATGTCCTGTTCTCAAACTGGCCTTCTCTGAGTATTCTAAGCATGTCACGGCACCTCATCCTTTTCCTTCACTTGTCACTATCTGTCATTTATTTGTTAGTTGCAGGATTACTGTCTGTCTCCCTGTTAAATCTCCTGGAAAGCAGGAAGCTGGTCATCTTCCTTTCACTGTATCTGCAACACTGAGCCCAGTTTTCAGTACTAAACTCTTAATCAGCAAACAGAACCTGAGGAACTGCTATGGGTCAGGCAGTGCTGGGTACAGGAGGGGCAATTCAGCAAGGAACCCATACAAACGTCCCTACACTTGCTGGAAGGAAAACCGACCAATGAGGAAGTAGCTCAGCTTCTTTGCCCCTTCCTCTCTCCTCTGGTCTGCTGACTTTGGGCCTGCTATAGGTACAAGATGGCACATGGTTATTCACAGCAGCACCAACCCTGCCCAGGCTTCTTCTACCTACAGCTGCACACGGAGATCCTGCCCAACTGAGCCCTCAAAACAAACTGAAGCAGAAGAAAAGGTAAAGTTAGTTTGGAATCTGTGAAGTCTAAAGTATCTATCAACCAAAGGGGGGGAAAAAAAAAAAGAACATAGAAGAGAGGATGAGAATGTTAAACTACAAAAGGAAAAAGGATTCTTTTTTTGGGAAAAACGGCTGTGGTCCCTCGTCATCTTAGCTCTTTAAAGATGGGTACTGCCAAGCAAAGGTCATGGAGGACTGCAGTCAGGGTTATGGATGCTTAGCCATATATAAAGCAGAGCTAATCAGACAGAGAATGAAGAACTGTGTACACATCTGGCCAGTGTGTATGCTGGAAACAAAGACCTCCTGTCTCGGCGCAGCCGAGGGAAGCAAAGGGCCAGTGAGCCTGGCATCCCACAGTTGTTGGCAGTGGGGGTCCCAGGAGTTGCTGGGCTGGCACCAGAGACTCTAGGATTGTGGCTGCTGGCAGCCACCAGAGCCAAAGCTTGCTGTGCAGCCCTGACTCTCAGCGCCAGGGCAGTTTTCCAAAGGTGCCCGCTGCCTGGCAGCAATTTCAGCAAGAAAGAAAAAAGGGGGTGTGTCTGCATGTGTGTGGGGAGGGGCTGAAAAAGCCATTTCTGCAAAAATATTTTCCTTGTCTCCAGCATAAAATACAGAAGTTCATTCACAGACCTCTTTAAAAGGCTAGCAGGGGAAAAGTATGAAGACTGTATCCCCCATTTTTTACTACTGTATGTTTGCAACACATAATGGTCATGCTAATTTTCGGGAATTGGTATGGGTATACCACATATCCTGCTCACTTTTGATTCTTTTATTACTTCCCTTTTAGAAGGTCATATTATTCAATGAAGACAAAATACCTTGGTCTTGGAATTATGGATGACTTTTTACTTCTTTTTGAATTAATAAATAAATCTATATTGCTTTAATCCTTCAAAAAATAAAACCATTTTTCATTAATGTAGGATTAAGGCCATATATAAGGCTGTAAAAGCATTGCTAACATGAGTAGCAAACAAAACTTTATGGATTTGTTTTTCTCATCCAATGGCAGAACTAGAGAAACTAAACTTGGGAGAAAACACTGTATTCAAGAAAACAGATACCCCACCCTCACCTCATCCTGGGGACTGAACCAAGGGCCTTCACCTCTCCATGCCTCTTTTGTTTTAACTATCTGGTGTTACTGTCACAAACACAGTAGCTGTAAATGCAGAACAACTCTACAAGTAATACTGATGACATAAGTTTTGTGACAATAGCTCATAAAATTATCTGTCTTAATACGTGGAAATACTACTCTTAATTCTTGGCATCGTGGTTCATTATGATTTCTCAAAGCACAGTTATTTGCTAGTTGTCAAATAGGACATGCTATCCCTCGAATTTAATTCATGTAAGCAAATACAACTTTATTTAAGGACTATACACATTCATCAGTTTGTCTACCTGTCAAATGAGCACACGGAACAGTAACGATGCCAGGGTGATGTGGGACTATGCTATTGAGCTGAGGAATACAGCATGCTCAGAGTAGCGCCAGCCAAACTCCCACAAGTAAGGTAAACTTCAGGATTCAGAGTTTAGAAAGGTATATGATATATGCAGTATTTTACTTAACCCCTAAGAATTATTACTTTTACTGAAAAAAATCTGAACATTAACACTAAGTGCATATTGAAAAGATAATCATTAAAAAGCTTACATTGATTTAGATATGGTTTTGCTATCAGATTAAATATTTTTAAAACTTCCGATTTTCAGCACTTTTTAGGGGTCCCTGTGTTATATATAAAAAGTGTTGTAAGCCTCTACAACTAGCATTATACCATACTTACAAAACCCTTCAGAGTTCACGCTCATGCACAGCTTTCTTTGTCCTAGGTTTAAAGAATGTATGTTCAAATTGTTTTAAAAAGCAATGCTCATTCATTTAAGATATGAAGACTTTATTTCATTTTTTCAGCTGAGTGATAGGAATTTAGGAATTTCATATTTTAGTTAAGCCATTCAAAAAGACATAAGAATATTTCACATACACATGTATTGAAACGTAAAATTTATTCTATCAATATGTACAATTTTTTGTTTTTAAAAAACAAGTTTAAAAAAGAATATCTTATAGTAACAATCTTTTAAACTCAATCCAAATTTCTTAGAGTATCTTTCAATAGATACAAGAAATTGACTTAAAAGAGACTCAGCCTCAACTCTTGTAACTATGCTCCAGCATCTGCTCCACAGTGTCACAAACCCCTCAAGCATCTATCTTCCCTGAACAGCAGCAGAAATGCAGATGTCAAGGTCCCTGGCCTCGGGAAGCACTGCTAACCTGAATATACAATCTGTACTTAGCCTGGGTGACATTTACAATAGTCTCCATTTGGGGCTGGAGATTTAGCTCAGCGGCATAAGCACCTGCCTTGCAAGCAGGCAGTCATGAATTCGATCCCTGGTACCGATGAAAAGGAAAAAAAAAAAAGAAAAGACAATAGTCTCCATTCATTTTTAGCTCTGGACTGGCAAGCCACAAACAGACAGACACACATCAGCTCTTGCCTACACAACTGAGATCTACTCACTATAGCTCCTGCTGCAGATAAATTTCAGTGTTCTCACTACCTCAGAGTTTACCAGGGAACGTAGCAGGCAGAAAACATAGGCAGGGGACAGTTCAGCAGAAAGATACCGAGTTTTTGGAAGGAGGTAGTTCTCCAGCACTATTTGTTCCTAAGTAAATCCCAATGTTTTCTGGTAAAAATCTTGAGAACATTTTGTACTTTTGAAGGACAGGGATCTTTATAACATTCTATACTGCCTAGTTTTCCCATGCAGTATCATCTTAAATCTTCAAAACAGAGTTATAAAATACATAAACAAATTTATCCCCACATTACAAAGACAAGACAAAATTTACAATTGACATAAATGTTTCAAATCTAAATAGAGGTAGAAACGGAACCAGAACTTAGGTCCTTGATAGATTCAAATACAGATATTCCTCACATAACAGTCTATTTAAGGACTGTTCGGACTTAAGACACATCTTTTCTTTTGTACAGTTCTGTGTATCCTGTTTTATAAAAAAAAATCAATTATAAAGTACACCTTATTTATATGCTATTGTAATTCTCACTGACTGTAATTCTCACTGTACAGTACGGTACTAATGTTGTTATACATCAGCATACAGCATGTAAGAGTTATGCAAATAAAACCAAAGTCATCAAGTTAGTTTTTCTGACCACTTCTTTGTTCTGAATATTATAATGTACATACTATATATAACTCTCCACTTAGCGACCTAGTTGCAGGAATGGAGCTTGCTCACTAAACAAAGAATGTTTATATATCTTACTGCAGATTGAGTATCTCTAACTGGAAGCTCTAACATCTAAAATGTTCCAAAATTTGAAAGTTTCTGGAGCAGCATTCAAATGAGACCTTCATTTGATTTTCATTAAGAATAAAGAGATCTACTATATAAGAAGAACTGAGTAATTTGATAAAACACAATTTCAATCTCACTAGAAAATCCTGTCTCATTTATAATTAAAACAAAAAAGTGCATGAGCTCCATTTTTCAGAAATATAAAACATAAAGCTTTCCAGAAAGCATGAGGACAGTGTGCTCTGGTTTGTATTTTGGCGACTTCACATCTACAGTACTGACTGAAGCAGGAGAAAGACAGCATCAGAGCATCTGGAAGAACAGAGTCCAACAAAACACAGAGGAATGAACATGTGTGGGATGGTTATATGCATGGAAATGTGCTATATGCTCTAAATATGTCACCTTTTATAATTATGAATAATCACCCAGTATAAGCAAAATTAAAACTGAAACACCCAAGCTCTTTCAGAAAGACAATATACCTGTAATCGCTGAAACACTCCTGACCGCAAGTTTCCAAATCCATAGTGGCACTGCGGATTCAAAGCACTTTCAGACATCTCCTCATAGGGAGTCTGTTCAATCTCCCAGTTAAACTCTTCATCGTCATCTTCTACTACTTCCTCCGAAACTTCAAAAGCACCTACACGTGTTAAACATATTCTTTATTTAAAAGCACTGAATTTCCTAGGCATAACTAAGGGAAGAACAAGTATAGGAAAAAGTGTCCACATATGTGCACTAAATACATGTACAGGAATATTCACAGTTTCACTATTTGCAACAGTCAAAAAATGGAACCACCTCGAATGTTCATCAGTAGCAGGAAATGGAACTAATTGTAGGGTATCCCTACAACAGAACACTACCCAGTAGTGGAAGCAGATGGGCTTCTGCTACAACATGGATAAACTTCACAAAAACACTGTTGAGTGAAAGAAGCCAGACAAAAAAGAACATGGACAAAGGGAGGGTGGTGGTGACCTTAGAGAGGGCAGAAGAACTGGAGAAGACACAGATGGGATTTCTAGGGTGTTGGAAATAAACATTCCGGTTTGTGACCTAACCGGTACTTGTGTTATTTAAATCTTTGAATTGTAAGATTTGAATTAAATTTTTGAATTATCTAAGTGCAAAAGGCTAACACTTTGCCAAAGACAAACAGTTTTAATTGGCCCAAAAATGTGGGTGGATCTGTGGTTCAGAAGAGCTATTAATGTCTTTTAATTATAACAGCAAATGAGCTATCTTCACATGACCATCTTATCTTGTCATGTATAACATTTTCTTCAGACTTGTCCACCAAGCCTCTTTCTTCTGGAAACACAAATCATTGCAAGTAATTTTATTTTGATTTCCTCGCAGCCACAATAAACATACCTATTTCCTCCACAAGTGGTTTAGCTGTCCTGGGTTTTCTTGGTGCCAGAAGAGCAGTTAACATGTTCAGCCCTTCAAAATGCTGACCAGGAGTTTCTTTAGGCAGTCGAATGGTAAAAATTCCTAAAAGATAAATTTCTTTTATGCTTACACACATCAAAATACTCCAAAATTTCACAAACATAGCTAAGAAATATATCTTGGCAATATATTCTATGTTGGAATAATTCTATGTTGGAAAGCCCTGAAATTATAACGCCTGTAGACTAGGTGGAATTAAGTTGATAGAAAAAAGCTCAAACAGGGTTTTCAGAAGCTGTTACTTAAGAAAGCTAAAGAATGCTTTAGTCTTAACTAATAGTACCTTTAACCTATTAAAATGCAAGTTAAAACCAAAAAACCCAGATAACATGTAAACCACTTAGAAATCATATTTTATTCACCTAAAAATTGATTGTATAACTTAAATATAGCACTTAGATGAGCATTTCCTATGGTGTTCCAAATAGTTACTGAAAACAATTGTGCCATTGACCAACAGAAGCACATGTTTGGCCTTATTTTTAAAACAAACAAACAAACATCAAGAACTTTCTTGACTGTTTCAGCTTGCTCATTTTAAGTTTCTGTTGCTGGTGTTTGGAAAAAATCAGTTAAGTACTACCAGAAAATGTATCAATTTTTTTAAAAAATTAAGAACAATACAAATTTCACAATTTAAAATTTTTATTTTGTGCAATATTTTCATTTAATGCACATATATTTGAGTAAGTGTAAAATAAATGCATTTTTAATGTTTTGAAAAAAAATCAAGATAAGAATTGGCCAATAGTAGCTTAACTTATTTATAAAATACATTTCTGGACTGGGGGGAAAATCAGGATATCAAATCCAACAGAGTGTAGCAGTAGTTTTAAACATACACAAAATATTGAGCAAAGTAATTATGGCTTTCTAAAGTTTCTGAGATACCTCAAGAGATAATCTCCCTACAGTATGTACACAGCACTTTGCAATTCTATCTATACATGTCTCTTCTTTCCTTCACTGGATTTATCTGCCTTATCCAGATTCCTACAAACTTATTACAGTAGTTGCCGCTCTTATGCATTTTACATGCTAACTCTTTGATGTATCAAACTGCATCCCAATATAGCAAATATAACTCAACCCAAATACTTACATATGCACAAACTCCATGTACTATCAAAATTTAATAATTTTAGTTCAGTATGTAATATATTTGTAATTAAAAGCATATGTACTAGCTAGGATGGTAGTATCATTATACTTCATTATTATATCAATTAGCCTGCATTATGAGTGAAAACTGTATCACTGAACTCTTTTTTATCCCACTCTCTGTCCCTTATCCTAGTTCACCAAACAAATTACACACAGAGTACATGGGCACTCTTACTCCACATCTTGTGACAGAGGAAAAAGCCAGTGGGTTCTAGAAATGAAAAAGTTTTATGGCTAGCTAAAATGAGGGACTTATCAATCATATGAAGAAAATTCAGTTAACTTTTAAATATCACAATGAATCTGGCTGTAATTAAAATTCAAGTTTGAAAACTGCACAAAATTCCATTCAAAAGCATATAAATCACCCACACTTTCTACAATTAGTGACCTTACACATTCTAACTTTTACTTTGAAACACCTACGGAATGTAGGGGAAGTACTTCTAAAAAATGGACACAAAGGTTAAATTCAACCTTATTTTGAAGGACATCGTGAAATACTTTAAAGAACTGAGGAAATTATAATTGTCCAAAAATCCATGCATAACAACAGGCCCTGAACCAAAAAAAATATCACAGAGCAGGCTACAACTGCAAGACATATAAATGGTCCTCACCATATCTTGAAAAACTTCTATATAGATACTCTAACATGAACAATCAAAACAAAACATTATCAAAAATTCTAAAGATGGTACCTTTATCTGCATCATAGGATCCCTGCTCACTTCCATTTTCTACAATTCTTCCAGGAAGGGTTAACCTGAAAATTTAACAAGGTCTCATGAAACACTTAAATTATAGCACAGCATAAATAGGCACCAATAACAGTATATATTTACCCACCAAAATCTATCAGTCATTCATAAAAGAGATTCATAAACAACAAAATCATGCCATCTGCAGAAAAATAGATGGAACCCTGGATCATCATGGTAAGCAAAATAAGCTAGACTCAAAAAGACAAGGAACACGTTTTCGCTCATTAGTGGAATGGGCGGTGCATTCTGAGATGAAAATAGAAGGAAGTTGCAGAGATCAAGGGAAGGAGAGGAAAGGCAGGATATAATAGGAAGAGACTATGACAGGAGTATGCTATACGCATGCACAAAAACGTCCCAATGAAACGCATTCTGTATAATTAATATGTGCTAATTATGATGGTTGATTGAGTCTGTCACCTTGAATAAGTGAAGCCCAACTACACTGCCTCTGCAGTTCTACACCCTAGGATGTGGAAAACCCGCTTGTCGCCTGGCTGGTATAAAAGGGAAATGAAGAAGGGCAGGTCTGCCTCTGGATCTGTTTGTTTCTTTGGAGGAGCTCCAGTTTACACCTTCACCTTGGATGTCTTCTCCTGGCTTCCAGCACAGACTCTTCAGCTTCCACCGCAGGCCCATCAGCCTACTGATATGACTCACACAGGACACTGCAGTGAGCTCCAGGCCTTCACCTGAAACCTTCAGTCTCCAGTGTGCAGACAGACCGCCTGCACTCTTCCACATTCAACTCTGTGGGTGGCCACTGTAAGTCAATCTTGTAAATTCTTATATATCTATATATCTTGATGTTATGTCCATTTCTCTAGTAAACATTGACTGACACACTAATAAGAAGTTTCAAGGACAAAAAGGAAAATATTCAGCATTTCCTTCAAATTTTATAAAATGACTCCCTTCCCAACTAAGGAAGTGAAAATTAGAGATGGCCCATCTTTCTATTTGCATACTCCGGTCATCAATAAAACAGAGAAGAAAACCACACTAAATACTAGTTATCAACTACGGTGATAGTGCTTTCCCTTCTTAATGAACAAAAGAATCACTTATGTATCTAGTTCCTCCATAGCAGGTGCTCAATGAAAGTATACTAACTGGCTTTTTAAAAAGGTTAGAAAATGGAAACAATAAATAAAGACAACTGCCTACATAAGGCAAATTACTACTTTAAAAAGTAGCAAGCACAAGCTTTTAACCAAATCTCATTATTACTATATAGGGATTTCCCCCTTCCCTATTTAAGGAAATGAACTGATTTCCCCACTTTCATTTATAACCTACTTTGGTAAGTCTCCCATTAAGGCCCCAAAAGAATCTTCCCAAATCAGCAATCTGACTGCCACTCTTCTATGTGAAAAATCCTCTTAGCCACCTAGCATTAACAAAATAAACATATCAGCATGGCATATCAAGTCTACTCCACACCATTCCAGACTTAAATTCCGAACCACTTTCCTCCCATTCCCCACTTCCTTGACTTAAACTAACTAAATACAATTAAAAATGAAAGACCTCGCACACACCCAAAGACGCAGGTCTTCACAACTCAGTTGCTGCTGATCAAACTACAATGAATTTTCAGAACCAAGTGCCCTTCTAATCCCAGAATAAAGAACCAGTTACTGGATAAATTAGTTTGTTATAGTAGCTACAAACACTAACTTTAGTGCCACGATCTATATTGTCTTTCCTGCCATTTACCAGCTATGTAACTTCCTTTGGACAAGTTAATTAAGAATCACAATATCTCATCTGTAAAAACAGAAGAAATGACAAGACGTAACAGATGGTTATTGAGAGAATAAAAGAATGTAGACTTACTGACTGGTAGAGTAAGCAGTCAGAAAATGTGAGTTATTATTACTCCCTTATCCTAAACTCTTTGCAAGTATAGAGCTAAATTCTTACTGTGTAAGAATAAAATCATAACAGGGCATGGTGGTACACACCCATAATCCCAGGGAGGCAGACAGGAGGATCACAAGACCAGTCTGGGCAACTCAGTAACTTAGTGAGACCTTGTCTAAAAAACAAAATACAAAACAAACAAACAAAATAAAAGGGCCCTAGAGCCCAATGCAAATACTCAGAAAAGAAACTAAATACCCAGGAAAGAAACTAGAACAAAACAGAACAGAGCAGAGAAAGGAAAGCAAAGGAAAAGAGAAAGACATCAACCAGTCGCTGAATCAATCAGGTTTATAGACCTGCCTTTCCAGAAAGATTCTCAAGTCCTCAAGAAGAGGACCCAGATTTTATTTATCTTCGGAACACTGTAGCAAATTGTATTTTCAAAGACTGCCATCTCACATCACTAATGGCAACACAAGACTCCAGTCTGTGTCACCTCCCCTTAAAATTCAGCCAGCTTCTGGGACTGTTTCAATCAATGTGACAAAGCAGAAATAAAAGTCTCTGCTTTTTAGGTTATGAAAAGTGACACAGATTCTGCCTTGCTTGCTGGATACTTGCTTTTGAAAACACCAGTCACTCTGGCTTCACCTCAACTTTGCCTAAAGAAACACAAAACAGACCAAGTAATAAAATTACACAGGGCCAGGAACAATGGCACACACCTGGAGTCTCACCTAGTTGGGAAGCTGAGGCAGAAAGATCACCAGAGCCCACAAGCCTGAGGCCAGCCTAAGCAGAACAGTAGAATGGGATTTAGCTCAGCAGCACAGCACCCGCCTGCCTGGGAAGCATGACATCTGGAGTTCGATTCTCAGTACCAAAAAAAGCCACATAGGCAGGCCCTCATATCACATAAAGAAAGATGTCCAACCAGCTACTTTAGCCCGTATGTTACATTCCAAGTCTAGACATCATTTCATCACAGTGGCGTTAGAATCTTTAAGCCACAAGAGCCTAGGAATTTTGATTGTCAGCCTGCTTAGGGGCAAAAGGGAGATTTTCACAGGTGAGGTCCCAAAGTAAAAGAACAAATATGTGCAAAACATCAGCAACAACAGCAGGCAGCATGGAGAAGGGCAGACTCCAAGAGCAAGAGCCACCTGTGCCTTGGCTGTATAATTCTTATTCAGGTTGTTATGTCACATTCACATTCTGGTACAGTACTGTAACCAGTGCATGCATGTTTGCCTGTGCTGAGTTAGGGGTACACAACTGTATCCTACCGCACACCTGCAATAGACAAGTGGGGGCACAACCTCAGGCGTCCTTAGATGGCCCTGAGCTTTGAAGTAGTCTGAGTGGCTCCCCAAAGCCTGCTCTTACCAAATTCCTTGTCCACAAAAGCCAGGGCAGATAACAAAATCACTATTGCTGTTTTACAACCTTCAGTTTGGGGCCAGGAATATAGCTCAGTGGCACAAGTGACTGAGTTCAAAGCACAAAATCCTGAGTTCAATTCCCAGTACTAAAAATAAAAAAAGAAAAAAGAAATGTTTCTTGCATCACTCAGTTTGATTGGTTATTAAGCAAAAGACAACTGGTACTTGGAACCTTCAGTAAAATAATAGTGCAATAGTCTACCCTTATTCATTATTTCATTTTCTATTCAAGGTCCAAAAAATACACTACAAGATATGATATTTCTGAAAGATAAGGAGATTACACTCATAAAACTTTTAGCACAGTGCATTTTATAACTGTTCTATTTTGCTACTGTTGTTAAATTTTTCCTGTGCCTAACTTATAAACTAAATTTCATCTTAGGTATGCAAGCACAGAAAAAATACAGCATATTCCAGATTCAGTACCTCCCATAGTTTCAGAGGAATCTATCTACTTGCAATGTTGGCAAACCTATGGCAGGTGTGCTACAGAAGGCTGTTTATAACACTAAAAGCTTGATGTTGGAACTTAGGATGCTGAGAAACCAAGCAAGAAGCTTGCTTTCCTGGTAAGCAGCTGCGCTGTGGGCAGACTGCGGCCCTTCCAGGGGGAGAACCACCAGCAGCTCCTGAGATCTGTGCCATGTTGGAACTTAGGACCCCGGGAAACCAAGCAAGAAGCTCGCCTCCCTGGTAAGTGGCTGCAGTTTGGCAAACTACAGCCCCTCCAGGGGGAGAACCACCAGTGTCTTCTGAGATCCACACCATGTTGGAACTTACGAAGCTGGGAAACCAAGCAACCAGCCTGCCTCCCTGCTAAGCAATAGTGAACCTACTGGTGCACAGCCTAGAGTCAAACATCCCACTTCCCCTACCCCTCTTCTCCTGTCTCCTCCCCCCATCCCCCGTTAGCAAATGGGAACCAGAAATCTGAGCATCTCCTGGGAGGTTGACCATAGAAAATAAGGGGGATTTCCTTCTACCATCTCTTTGAAGGCAAATATTTTTATTACTGTTTTGCTCTATTCTGATTAATGGTACTGCTCTATTCAATAGTCTGTTTTGATAAATTCTATAATGTTCTGTATTTCATTTTATTTTGATATACGTGATTGAAAGAACAACTATTGTAAAGATAATGAAATATACTGTGATACCTATTATTGTTATCCTGGTAAACTGCTATGAAGTTCTGTACCAATTTCACTGTACAATCTTAGTTGGCTTTATTCTGTCTTGTTCTGTTGTATTTTACTACTTTCAAAATAAAATTTTAAAAAATAACACTAAAAGCTCTAAAAGAATTGCCATCACTGGAACTTAGGACCCCGGGAAACCAAGCAAGAAGCTCGCCTCCCTGGTAAGTGGCTGCAGTTTGGCAAGTAGCTCTTCAAACAAGTAGCTCTTCAAACATATTCCCCATACGGAAGGGTAGATTACTATTGTAATCAGGTTTTGCAAGAGGATAGATTTACTATAGAACACATGATTTAAAGGATTATTTTATAATATTCCCCAAAAAAGTCAAATACAAAAGAGTGCAAGAGATCTGTCCACACACTAGAAACCCAAAGTATTCCACTGAGGTCCTGGATTCCATAGCAATGTCATGCCCGAGTCCAGTCATGCCCAAGACCTAGAGCCCATGGCAATGTCTCATGCAAGTCTGCTCCACTGATCTGCACTGG